TCATCATCAGGCACGCAACCAATTTGTACTTGAAGGTGTATTATTTATGCCCATTGGAAGGATGAGATCTTTCACTAACAATATATGAATGACTTTCTCTCCCTTGTTAAGTACAGACAGTCAAAAAGCCCAAGGCTGAATGGATTCAGTCTTTGCAAGTTAGTCTAAACTACACAGATTAAACTGAAACAGAAGTGAACAGACATTTACATCTGATTTAGGAAATGCAGCCACAAGCCTGCAGTAGCTTAAACCAAAAGCCAGGGGACACTAGAGAATGGCTCCCTGGCTGCGTGTTCACTTCCTCTTCCTGCTGCCCCAAAGGTCTCTGAGATTTGCAGTCCAGAATTACAGCAGCAGGACTCTGTGGTGTTGCTCATTACTTCCTCTTCCTGCTTCCAGGTGCCTGTGGGATTTGTAGTCCACAGATGCAGCCAGCAGTAAGTTTGAATGGGGGAAGGGGTGTTTAACCCCCGTCTCTGGCCCCAGACCCCAGCCGGGGTTTGTGGGGCGGGGAGGGGGCAGTCCCCCCCATGGTAGACTGGACTGCATCCCCAGCTGGGCTGGTCAGCCAGGCCTCGCTACTTCAACTACAGAGCAGAGTGGTGGGGCCAGCCCTGCTTTCTGGAGCAGACAGCACAGCCCAGCCCAGGGATGGAAAGCGTGCTGGGATGTTGTGGGGCTGTGATTTAACTTGAACCAGGAAGCGGTCTGGGACAGAAGTTTCATAACCTGGCTTGACCCAAATCAGTTAAATCTGATACTGCATTCAACCAGATTTATCTTATACCAGTTTCAGCTATTTTGAAACTGGTTTATATGCAATGAACTTCTGTTCTGTTACAGGTTTAAACCAGTTTCTGATCACTTAAACTGCTTTATGTGTAATGTCTGTCCCTAGCCCCTATGTCCCTTAGTACCTTAATGACGTGAGAGACACTTATTGCATACTCATGTGGGTCTGTCCATTTCAAAGCCACGGAACAACTAAGCCCATTCTTTCACTGAACTAGTCCAGGTTTTGGCAGCAATAGAAGTAAATTATTCCTATCATCTTCCACAATTCAGAATGTGTATTTCCCAAGGACTTCTGGTGGCAAGTGACCTCTATTCTAGACTGGTGATCTGATGTTTACAAATGAACTTGGCTGCATCTAGAAAGAAATGTGAATTGAAAATGTGAGGGAACATTAAAGTATTACTCCTATTTACCCAATGGTTTTCTCAGTAGAAGAACACAGTATTTGATCTCTTCTAGTGGTTCCTTAATTTCTGTTTCAGTGTTGGTAGAAGACCAGATACATGAAACATTGGAAGTGTCATCATTGGGAGGATCAACAGAGAGCCATTATTAAGCAGCTTTCTCTGTATGACTGAGGAGGGAGGTTGCCTAGTTGTGCACTATCTTTTCAGAGTTGTGCCAGATGCAGCACATTGGGGATGTAAATATTTTTTTTCATATCTCAACCCCCAGTTGAAATGCACCCTCAAGTAATTCAGGATAGAGATGGTGGACAGGAAGTTGAGGTCTTTTGCCTGCCTGCATGCGTCCCATATCTGGGATAGATCATGAGATAAAATATCTGTTCCCTACATACTGCTGGGGAACAGCCTGGTGAGGAGATTTGACTCCTTCCATGCCTCTGATGCAGCTGGAAGAAGGAAGAGGTCACTGTTGAGGTCACTCAGCGCAGCATGCATCATAGAGCATTGGCGAGACCCTGCTCTTTTGTAACTCCTTTCTGTCCCCTGATGCCAACCTTCAGCAAGAAAGATGTAGGGTTTGAAAAGCTGCTACTTCTCACATACGGCTATATAATGTGATTAGCTAGCACACAAACATAAGAGGACATGATAAATTTCCTAACATCCTGCACTCCTGCTCCATCTAAGACAGTTTGGCCTCTCGTGTGGTGGAGAGAAATATTTTGATGACTAACAGAAGCCAGAGAGAGTCCTCAGGTTTTTCAGATTCAGAGTCATAAGTGGACTTCTCATTACCATCAGGAGGGGCAGCTTTGGTTTTCACAGAACACATCAAATTCTCACTTTGAGGTACTGAGATCATCATTCAACCCCAGAGTGTGTGGGTCTTCGTGTAACTGGGATTTGCTTTTGTAAAAATGTTATGTGGCATTATATGCATGGCTAATATGTGTTGAATTACATGCTGCTAACTACAGCTTGGGTGTCATCCAGTTCATTTCTAAACAGTAAAGATGATATTACCATCGGGGAGACAGCAATGATGATTCAAGATATTTTGGAGAAAAAGAGCAAATGGCACTTACAGGGGAGTAAAAAGGAGGGACTGGGATGTATTGTGGCAATATCTGGAGGCTACAGTTAAAGAGCTCCATATGTTCCTTGGTTTTGCTTGCAGCTCATCCTGTTAGGTGTGTTTTTGGGGGGGCGTCTATGTTACAGTTCATATGAATGTATGTGAGGCTTCCAAAAGTCACTGCCCACTCCACTTTGCTAGTCATTTGTGGGACTCATGAATGCATATACGCAAATTATCATGAACATGTACAACCCTAAACACAAAATCAGCTTGCTTACTCTTTACCATCGTGACTACAATTGTAGACATTGAAAGATACTTACTGTATTTTTCCTCACTCTTCAAACAATACACATGCTTCAAGTGAAATGGACTGAGTCAGAAGCTGCAAAACTGACTGGTCTATAGATTGAATCTGAACCTTTAAGATTTCCTTTCTTCTGAAGATTTCCTGGCACCCAGAATGAATTCTACTCTTCAGTTTCCTCTGTGCAAAAATGACGTTTATTTCCTACATATGGGGACTTCTTACCATCTTTAACTTTCCCTGGGCCGGATGAAGGATGCGTGAGCCTGGAAGCTTGCAGAAAAAGATCATTTTTTGCGTGTTCTTAGTTGGTCTAATAAAAGGTATCATCTCTGACCCAAGAGTTCTAGATTTTTGCACTAAATAACCCTAACATCGAGCAAAAAACCCAAAACTTTCTTTCTTTGGAGGGCCAGGACTTGAGAGCACAATGTATGGGAAGGGCGATGGATGATGTGAATTGTCTTTTCCACCTCCGACTTTTCATATCAACCTCCAGCCTTAAGAACCTCGTGGTCTTTGAAGCTATGCAGATACCTCACCTACCCTCCATGTTTCACTGCATCTAACGAATGAAAAGTGAACGGTATAAGAAGAGACTGTTCAAACCCTTGCCCAAAATATGGCAACAAAACACTTAGTTGGTGGAAAATTTGATGGAAGGGTTGCTCAGCCAGATTTTGAGTAGAAATGTCCCTCTTCCCTCAGGTTTTCTATGCAAGCCAATGAGAGAAGAGCGAGTGATGCAGGCAACCTAGAAAAGGGGAGGAGCTGAGCAAAGTACTTCCACATGGTCTCCGTTGCTATAGAAACCACTTCTTTTGTCTGCATGTGCAGCTGCTTCATTTATAATCCAGCTCTCAGGTAAGGCATCTTGTATCGTGACATTCTGAAAATAAATAAAAAAAGATGAAGGCAAATAAATTAACAAAGGCACGTACACAGGTAAAATCTAAGCATGCAAAATCGGGGGCTTTTCCCCTCTTGCAAGGTACACCGATGTACTCACCCTGCTGCATATTTGTATATATAAACTTGTTGTGGAATGTAACTATAATATCTTTGACTTCCAGCTGAGCTCCTACAATCCAGGTCACAATCATTTGAATAATACAGTCTCCTTGCAAGGCTCAGACCAAAAGAAAAAAAACTATTTATTTTGTATGAACAATTGAATTTCCTGATGGTTTTGTCAGGAAGAGCTTTATAGTTGCTCCTTTTTTTTTTCTCCCCCTCTTCTTTACCAATGTGACTAAAAATATGAATGTAGAGCTTTCATGTACTGTCTTTGATGGACCACTTCTTTTTCTGTTTGTCTGATGATATCTACTGTGATTGTCATAAAGGAACTACAGTTGCTAGTTTGTGAAATGCCAAATAATCCCCTAAATTTACACATTAAAACAAAATCCCATTATGGCTTTAGTGGAAAGGGTGCTAGAGGAGCCCAAACAGATAAACTTGCTGGCTTGTAATCACTCTTTAATTTGAGGTAGATATCACAGGTGGTATTCCCCACCCTACTATTGAAGCAAAATCATATTGTAACTTCAAAAAAATGGGGAAAAAATAATAGCTATTTACACGAATAGCAATCATCTGCATTTCTATATTGACCCTATCTTGAACAGGAAGACATGAACTGTCAACTTTAATGCTTCAGGGTGTAAGAAAAGTTCCAGCTGGTAGCAGAAAGAAATTTCTCCCTTTGGATAGTTGTGGAATTAGGTATGTTATGAGGGTTGTCCATTCATTTCTGGAACTTCAGCTATTAGCCAGTGTCAATAAAATATGTTTTTCATAAACCGTGGTCACTCATCGAAAGAAGTATAATATGTTTCTAGCATTTTTAGGAATAATAAATCCAAAAAAAAATCTGCAGCAATAACATTACCTCGCTAACAACAGTGAACACATTTAAAGACTTGGATATGAATATCCAAATGTCAGACCAAGCCTGGGATAATATTTACAACAACAGTTTAAAAAAAAATCACCTGATGATTAAGGTCTTCTCTAACAACAAAACTGTATTGCACATTTCCTGGGCTGGGAGCAGAATTTACCCTGCCAGTATTTTGAATAATGATAAAGGGATGGTGATGTAATATATATTCTGGAACACTTTGTCCACATGTTATCGGAATGCCCACAATGTAAGAGTTATGGGAAATATATCATCATCCCTAGACTAGAGTTTATGCAGAATATTACTCTGCCATGGGATCCCTTTATCTACATTCTAGATAGCCTGACAATGACTCCCCAAATGCTTCAAGCCAATTTAAAAAAGGATAGTAAGAGCTCTCTAATAGCCAAAGTTATTACTACTAAAGTGTAAATCAATGCTGTGTACATTCCAAGAAGGAAGTGTGGGTCTGAGTGAGCTTCATCTTAATGGAAAAAGTGTTTTAGATGTATTCTCCTTGTGTGGGGCCAGATTTTACACACATGGTGGCAGTCTGCATTCAGATGTACCTGTGTCTCCCCTGTTGACTTCAATGCACGGTTAGTAATATCTGACATATGACTTAGACTGCTTGCCTTCTGCAGTTGCATATGCCCAGTTATATTCTGCTATTATGAATTGGCCTTATTAGTTTCAGCAGTTTAGTTTTAGCTGATGTAGTAGGTTGCATAGAGAGCAAATGCGTAAGGAACTAGTAGGGAAAAGAATAGGGGTATCTACCTCATCTGTAGCCCCTTTCTGGCCCCATGCCAATATCTGTTTCAGGGAGTCTCCAACCATGGGTAGGTAGTCCCTGCAAGCACCATGCCCGTATCTCCTCCCAGCCACCTTGTATCCAGATACAACACTTCCACTAGCAGGTAGTAGATGCCCCTATACTGCTTAAAGGTATTCTGAACTAGAAAAATAGAATCAGGTATGGTAGTCATTGCCCACCCTTCTGCCAGACTAGACTTCGAGAGATTATCAGTGGGAGTCTAGTTCTTGATATGAACCTCAAATCTTTGGCACATCCCTAATTATCCAGAGTTGATATGGCATTGAAGAAGGCTGGAAATTGGTTTGGTTTCTTTCGTTATTAATAATATAAAGAAGTGCTAAAATAATCTGACCCCTGCCCCTGTCATGAGCCATGTCACTTTTTACTGAGGTGACTGGCACCAGCTATAGGCTCATAAATGCCGGTTATAATTCAAACTATTATTTTCTAATAAAGTCAGTTTATTTGTGGTGAAAAGCAAAAAGCGTGGTGAATCTCTGTAAAATGTGGGTTTAAAAGGTTGGGCTCTGCTCTTTGAGGTTGCCATGAACAATACAGCTTCAGGTATATTAAATGAGAGGTTAACCAAAATTTGCAGATAGACAGATTCCCCAAATTACTAGTAACTTTTGAAAATGTAGATCAAATGCCACAATAAAATAAGAAGCAGAAGCAACAGCAGAGTTGTTTCTAGAGGCAATCACAGTCTGGTTAGAGATGTTGATTTGTTGTTGAGTTTGGGCGGACGAAGTTTCTAAGAGTCTGGCTAGGGTTTTTTTATTTACTTGTGACAATAGGAAAATGGGCATGAGATCAAAAGGTCATATATCATCCGAAGCATCAGTGTTTGTCATGGCTGGACAATTGTTCCTCTTTTACCCTGGGTGGGTTTCTGTTTCGTAAGATGGACTCAAATCACAGCTGTTGCTGCTAGAGGGTGTATATCACACCCATGGGGCAGCTGATCTCTATTAGCAGCTCATTCATAGGAGGACAGCTTTAAACTTTGGTCAGGAGTCCCAAGAAATGGAAACTAGAAACCGTATAAGGTCATCTCTCAAGTGCAATGACTCCCCGTGCTTCTGGAACCGGCCCTGGCCTTCTGGAGAGAGCCAGTGAGCAGCTTGTGGTTACATCTGCTCTGTGATGACTTTGTCAGTGACACTCAGAAATGTCTGGTATTAACCACCACCTGTGAGAGGATACAGGATTAGATGGACAACTGCTCTGATCCAGGATGACAGTTCCCATGTTTCTGTGAATTCGGCCCATTATCCTTCTGCTCGGCTTCATTTGTTCAAGGTGATCAAACAAGATTCCTGTTCCATGCATATTTGCGCTGTTGTAACCCCACTGCTTATTGCCTTGCCCACTGTTATCAGCAGCTATTACCCCAGAACCATATAGGATGGAGGAGCCTGGAAGCTGCAAGTTAATGAAGAATATAGAGATCACTCCTACTCACTTTGCAAGGGATCGGGATCCAGGCCAGAAAATGTTACAGTGGAAGATTGTTGCCAAGTGCCAGAAAAGCCACATAGGCTAATACATTGTGCAGCTTTATTGCCCTTGTTGTTAGTCTTACAATCTTAGTCATTTTCCTGCCCTGTAATCTTGTACCAATGTCCTTTAAAATTCCAAAACATTCTATTTAAAAGCATTTCCATTCTGTATGATTAGCAGCTATTGTGAGCGATCTCTATTAAGGACTTGCAGCTCAATTTCAAATATTTTTGTGGTGCTTTTGGTGGGCCATGCTGGAATAAATTAAGTCTATTTTTCCCCTGATTGCCTTACTGGACCTCTTTGTAACTTCACCTTGTATTCCTTTTCTGTTCAATACTTTTCAAAGTACTGAGAGTTTAAAGAGGTACAATAAATCCCAGATCAGTTTTTAATGACCATGGTAAGCCTGCTTGTAATATGTCAGTAAGCTGAGCCTAAAAGCCAATGGGGAATAGGCCATTTCTGCCTTAGTAATTGCCTCCACAGAAAGATTTATAATGTCATTATCTGAATCTACAAGAAATAACTCATAGAGCTGAAATACCCTAAAAAAATATTACAATTCTCTTAAAATCTAGTCATTCATAAATGCTAAATCATAAAACTTTTCTCAAGATGTTTTATGTTAAAAATAAAACCCAGTAAAAATATAAATGTACTTTTCTTAATCAGATTCTTCATTCTTTATGTATCTGTTTTCAATGCTGTAGTTTGTTGGGCAGAAGAATGGTGCAGCGAACTGCTCAGATCTAGCACTGTGCTGTTGAAAGCACAAATGAGGACTGAAAAACCACAGAGAGGAAGAACATTCCCAGTCATTTTTCTTTATCTGTGTATGATTCCAGGGGGGAAGAGGGTTAGTTAGCACTGCAATAAAATTAATTTTAGCAATAAAAATCACTTCCCCCCCATCCCCCATTTTCCTATGAAAAACCACAGTAAACGTCCTGATAAATGTACTGCAGTACTGTTTAAGCCATTTCATCCAGCTTCCTTTGCCCTTAGCATTCCCCAATCAGAAGATATCATTCATTTCTTTCAAAAAAGCAGGAAATGTACTCTTCAATTTGTCTGGTGTTTAATAACGTGCTAGAATTGCCATAGCTACCTTCATCTTCTGATGCTTTAATACAGTGCAAGATTTATACTAATTTCAGCTACACTATATTCTTCAGAATAGAAAACTATTACACTTAAAAGGCCATTCTTGATGTATTTTTCATATATTTTTAAATAGTAAGCTCCTAGAAATTTGAATGTGAAATCCACTTTGCTAAAGAGAGAGGGGTTTTTTTTCTCCCTCCATCTTGTGTGCATGGTCTGTTGTTGTAAGGATGCTCATTAGCCCTGAGTTTCTAGAAGTCTTTATTTGTTTCTTTTTATTTCAGTATTATAGAAATCTGGCCCTTAATGAAGTGCTGTTGTTCAAAATACATACAAGGAACAATAATATTGAAGACTCTCTGGCACTGGTTTTTTTAAGTTAACTGGCTCCCTGGCCATCATGTCAAATGGAAAGCTTCTCACTGGCTCCAGTAGGCTCTGGATGACCCTTTGTGCATCATAACCATGTTCTGTTGTTCCTGTCTCTTCGAGTTGGTCTGTCGGGCTTCTGCAGAGCTCGTGGCAGCAGCATCCAGCTTTCTGATTTCCTCCCCACTCCTGTTCAGTGTGCACCAAACCTGGAAATGGAGCGATGAAGCTGCTCTGAGGACACCTCCTACTCCCACTATACCTGAGATCTGTCCCCAGAGTGGCAGTGGCAGTAGGCACCCATCATGACTTCATCCCTGGGGTTGATTTGAGAGCGGTGTTCCCAAGGGTGCTTCGTAAGGGGGATGGATATGCCCTTAAGGTCCAATCCTGCTGTCATTTACTTCAGTGAGTTGATTGACCTGATATCAACAGTGGCCTTGGACTGGAAGATATTGAAGCTAACACCCTACTGAAATCCCAGTTCCACTGGACTGAATAAGAGCCTTGCCATTGACTTCAGAAGGAAGATCAAGATTTCTCCCCAGATCTTATACAACTCAGAATATAGTCGGCTCTCAGTAAATAATAAATAATTATTTATTCATTATTATTGAGCATTACAAACTTTTAAGTTCTTTACTTCAAAGAAATTGGCTCCAGACAATGGAAGTTAGCTCCCATTCTGGGCACTCAGGCCTTTGGCAATGTCCCCCGAGCCTAATGTATCTGTGC